CAACAGTCCTGAGCACCGATTTATTGCCTTTAGTTCTGGTCATTATCATGAAGTTTATGGTCGGAGTATCAATCGGTTCCTCTTTGGGCTCATTATAGTCAGTGAAGGCGACACTCTTTTTGGTGACATTTCTATTGACAGGAATCACAATATCTGTATTACTTCGGACCACTTCCTGACTCCTGGAGACCAACGACTCGCTCATCATTTTGTCGAAATCCTTTAGGAAATCGTCGTCTTCTGGACAGTGAACTGTTTTGGGTCCGCTTTCCGAGCCTTCCATTCCTCGTAAGCCATCATCCGATTCATAAATACCGTCGCTTTCGCTTCCATTATTATCTTCATCAGTGGTTGTCTTTTGTCTGAATTCCAAGTGTTGTTCAGTAGGAAACTCGTATTCATCGTCAGAGTCACTCTCTTGGTGTGACATCTCCTCAGGAGCTGATTCTTCTTCCGCTTCGACAATAGGATTAAGTCCGGGATTTTGGTCATCGGTTTCAGACATTGTCTCCGAATCGAGTCTGAGCTTAAAGTTGGGCAACACTTCCTGCACTCGAGGAGTCAGTTCTTTGAGCAAATCGTCCACAGATTTCAGCGCCGACTCATAATTTGTGGCAAATTTGAATTTAGGCCTCAATAACAGAATCACGTCTTTANTGTGGCAAATTTGAATTTAGGCCTCAATAACAGAATCACGTCTTTAAATAAATAATCCATTGAAAAGTGAAATGGATTTTCTTCTGTATAAAAATCGTATGATTTCTTAAACCAAAAGTATTTCTTTAGGTTTAAGAGAGAAAAGCATTAAATTTGGATCAAATAAATGCAAACTTTAGTGACAATAGAGTCGACACAAACCTGAAAGAAGAACAAAAAGCAGTCGAGTTTTTTCTTCGCCAGACCTGAACTGAAATACTGACCACAAGTTTCCAGGAGTTGGCAAATGAGTCGAATTCTGACCAGATTGTCGGGCGGATCTGAATCACTATAAATGGAGTGATCGTAAAACACGCCAAACGTCACGAATGAATACAACACTTTGAAGACAATCGACGAGTCGACCAAACGATAGTTATAGAGTTCGCCCAAGAATTTACACATCGATACTCTTCGCTGATTGAATTTCGGAGAATTCATTTCCATACCAATGCGAATGTCTTCGAGCGCTCCGTCGATCACTTGGGGTGCGACCCACTCCTGGAATGAGTTCAAACCGGCCAATAGGTTGGCCACACACCGCACGTTATAGAACTTGACGTTCCAGATGGCGGTCAGACACCGGATGGCGTACGACGACAACTCCTTGTCCTCCCACCGAAGTTTGCGGATTTGACGCAGAATTTTATCCACATTTGTTTTGTTTAAGTCGTGGTAAAGCAGTTTCCGAATGTATTCATGCATTGGAGGCCTTTCCACGCGAATGATCTGTAATGGATGTAAGGGCTGGTGATATAGCACTCAATTGTTTAGTTTGTACTTACAGTCTGTGATTCGGGAGGGTTTGCGAAATAGTATGCGTTTTCAATGTTTGTTATATATCTCGAGTCAAATGGTAAGAGAGCTTTCTTTCGCATCATTTGATCCAAAAGTAGTTTTGTTCTCAAATGCGATTCAGGAGAGCGAAAGAGAAATCGTCCGCACGTTTCCAACAAATTACATGTCATTTCGATGTGATGGTGACGGAAATCAAGTAATAATAACTGCATATGTAATCAAGAATACCATTTAAATACATTGCTATACAAACAAGTGTTAAAATTACATACTTTAAGGCAATTAAGAGCTTCTGGTTTGGGAAAGATATTGAATTTGACTAATTCGCCGATAAAGCGGACGTTTTTCACTTTGCTTTCAATGTTTATTTGATCCTTTTTGCGGAACAGGAATCGAAAGTCTTGCTTCAGAAGTGCGACCAAATCGGTGGCAATGTTTGGCATTATTGGCTCGATTTGTGCCACAAATCGCGAATAGAATGGCAACAAATCGAGACGAGTTCGCGGAACCGTAAACAGAGCTCTGACCAGTTTTTTGCGGTTATTTTTAGTGTTAAGGTTTGTGCAGAAATCGATGGCCGCCTTATCCATCATATCTCTGTTCACACAATTCACTATTGTATTGAAAAACGCGTCCAAAAGCACTTTATTAGACACTTTAGTCGCCGCCTCTTTACTCGAGTCTTCGTCGCTGTCCTCCACCTCTATATCAACGACAGGAGCGCTAATCGGATCCTCGATCTCGTCAATCGTCTCTTCAAATTCAAGATTGTCTTCAATTATGTCAATATTCTCTTCGTTTAGTTCCTCTTTGTTTTCATTCAATTCTTTGTTTTCATTAATCTCTTTATTTTCTTCTTCGCCCTCAGCTTTAGTTTCGTCTGTTTTCTGGTTTGGATCCGATTTGTTGTCCAACTCTTTCACGCAATCCTTGTAAAGAATGGATGGAATAATTGACTTAAGATCGGGAAAGTGTTGATAGAAACTTCTGGTGTCCTCGTCTTCCCAAAGGGCTCCCGATTCGAACTCTGGCTGTCCTTTGAAACGATTGGAAACATCGAAATTCATGCCTTGATTTGACTCGTCGTTGTCGTCCGAGAACTAGAACTAAAGGCAATAAATCGGTGCTCAGGACTGTTGACGTTCCGCTCGATTCAGAACTCGTGGTCTCTCTGAAGGCCAGAGAAGAGGCCGAAAAGGCAGAGAAGAAGAATATTAAACGACTGATTCTCGACATCAATGAGAGACGAGAAATGGAAGACAGAGACGCGGAACTGGAGAAGGGGTCGGCGGCCACCGGTTCCGTCTCCTCCTCTAACTCTAATCGAGATCGACGTAAATATCAACACCAGAAGGGAGTGCCAGATGTGGACATTATCTTCGGAAACAAGTATTTGCAGTAATTTATCCTTTAATTAATTGATTTCATGAACAAAATATTAATTGAATTTAACTTTAATTTCATAGAAAACGTTGAAATGTTGGGACAATTTTCAAAAAGTGCAATACTTTTGCATTAAAATGTATAATAAAATGGGAATAATTCTTGTTTTGTAAAATTGTATATCAAATCAAAACTAACTTTAAATTGATTTAAAATTTAAATTTAATGTTAAGTTTGCAGTCACCAAAAAGAGTGTCGCCTTCACTGACTATAATGAGCCCAAAGAGGAACCGATTGATACTCCGACCATAAACTTCATGATAATGACCAGAACTAAAGGCAATAAATCGGTGCTCAGGACTGTTGACGTTCCGCTCGATTCAGAACTCGTGGTCTCTCTGAAGGCCAGAGAAGAGGCCGAAAAGGCAGAGAAGAAGAATATTAAACGACTGATTCTTGACATCAATGAGAGACGAGAAATGGAAGACAGAGACGCGGAACTGGAGAAGGGGTCGGCGGCCACCGGTTCCGTCTCCTCCTCGAACACTAATCGAGATCGACGTAAATATCAACACCAGAAGGGAGTGCCAGATGTGGACATTATCTTCGGAAACAAGTATTTGCAGTAATTTATCCTTTAATTAATTGATTTTATGAACAAAACATTTATTGAATTTAACTTTAATTTCATAGAAAACGTTGAAATGTTGGGACAATTTTCAAAAAAGTGCAATACTTTTGCATTAAAATGTATAATAAAATGGGAATAATTCTTGTTTTGTAAAATTGTATATCAAATCAAAACTAACTTTAAATTGATTTAAAATTTAAATTTAATGTTAAGTTTGCTTTCATATGATTTTGTGTACACTTTTTCCCTTTATTTCTGTGAAGTTTTGATTTGAATTGAAAATATATTTTATATAAAGAATACTACAAAATATAACACTAAATAAAAGATATATTTAATTAAAACACAATTTAAATCAGTGTTTAAATTACTTACGAAATGTTTGTGAAGTTTCCGTAAATATTACATCATTTGAATGGAGAGAACGTACAAAACATAAGACATTTTTGTAGACTAAACGTTACGTATTGTAATGGAAAACATCAACAAAACGTGTGGCGAAAGTCAATCATATGATAACACGATAAGCGAAATGTGCGTCAAATGGACTCAAACTTAGCGTTGAATTAAATTCACATTTAATTGTAATTATAATTGAATTTATATTTATTTTATATTTACTTATAGTTTATTTAACAAATGGTAAGTCTTTGCGGCCATACATAACACATAAAGCCGTCAACTAATCACGTGTTTTGATTATTAGGCCAAATATTTGGCGCAAATGGTGTTATTGGGGGCCCAAGTGGTCGGTCGCGCCTTCACTCGTGCCCTCCGACAAGAGTTCGCCGGTTTGTCCACCAATTGATCCAATTGTCACTTATGTATCACTAATTATGTAATTGATTGTCTCGTTTGCCACCAAAAGCGAGCCAAACGGCGGCCAATCAGCGACGCGCTAACAACGGATCCAATGATAGGGGTATTAATGCCAAACTGGGGATGAGTTTACAAGTATTGTCGACATCTAATCGATGGTTAAATTGAGTGATTGATTGATTGGTTTGTGGTCTATGTATAGGAAGCGCAGCAAATACTGAATGTGGACAACAAGAAGTTGACTGAATTGGACGCCGAGACTGTACTCAAGAGTTATAACCATTTGTTTGATGTGAACGACAAATCGAAAGGCGGATCCTTTTATTTGCAATCAAAGGTTTGTATGATTTGATTGTCTTCTTCTTTGTGGTCATAACTATTTTGTGGCAAATGTTTGGGTCTTTAGCTAATAGTCTCGCTATAAATGCAAAACTCGTTTAAAACTCAATACAAAAATACAAAATACCCGTAAATTAGAAATGCGGTCAAAACTGGACACAAATGGACTCTTTGTGGCAATCACTTGACTATTGCCACTCATTTCAAACTTTGTCACCAATTCGTGGCAATCGATTCCTCCGACCGAAGAGTTTTGTGCCAATTATTAACGCAAATGGTTTTCACTCGACTAAAGACTCGAGTGATATGTTTGAAGAGGCATTGAGTGAACAAAATATTCAAAACTGTATTAAAGTGTTGAAAGACGTGGCAGTGATTCGGCCGAAGAAGGGCTTCTCAATCGGTCGAAACCGTAACCAAAACAGGGCCGCAGTTTTGGTTCCTTTCTGTCGGTCAGAGGACAGGGAGCCGAGTGTTCTGTTCACTCAACGGTCCACTAGTCTGAGTCAACACAGAGGAGAGGTTTGCTTTCCCGGCGGTGTCGAGGAAGACATTGACGACAATCAAGTGATTCGTACGGCTGTCAGGGAATCAGTCGAAGAGCTCGGAATCGATGAGAAACGGGTCATTACTTACGGCGTTCTGAATCCGATTCCCGCGGCTAACGGCACTGCCGTTCATCCGGTCTTAGGATTTATTGATTTATCAAATTTTGAGTTAAACTCCGGTATAAACAAAGACGAAGTCGAGAGCGTATTCGTAGTGCCCCTCAAACGACTGGTCGATGAGAACAACTGGAAGTTCACTCATTGGAAGGCCGGTTGGATTACACCCGTCTATATCGATAGCAATCGACTGAATCCCAGAATCTGGGGATTGACTTCTTCTATACTATATATGGTTTTATCAGCTCTTTTGCCGAATGTCTTTCAATACAACTCAAAGTTTTTAAGATTCCGAACCAAAAGTCCCTTAAATTAAACACAAATTGTTATTTTAGTCAAAGAATTCTCAATTTATTTTTATATAAACTGTTTTATTTATAAGAATTGTCTGTTTTTATATGGATTTATAGGTCGTTAGAGCTAAGGAACGGATTGAAGAAGAAATGAAAGTAAATTTGAACGAAACGAATGGAAAAGAGAGTCAAGAGAGACAATCTCAACAAAACTAAGACCTCGTATCATATAGTGTGGTGTTATTAGACTTATTGTTAAATCATTTATATAATTATTTTGGAATTTTAGTAATGCATTAATTCTGTAGTCATATATCATACAAATATTGTGTAATTTTCGTATAAATATTATAAAGTGCTAAGAATTGACTGATCACTCCTTAAGTAAATATTTGATTATTAATGAAAAAAAGTTTTATAATCGGATTTAATTGGCATTCAATTGAATGTTGTGTTAAGTGGTTGTTATGTTCGTTGAACTTTGAAATATTATCTAATGACTGATCACTTGTGAAGCGCTTATAAACCCGAACCGACCGATCGATTCATTGAATGCATTGTAATCAACGATTGCATAATTTGACGGACAAATCATGTCTGCGAGTGATATGACAACCGTCTTACCAATCGGTGGATACCTCTTGACTCCCACTACAAGAACTGCTGTTTTTTCTAATCATAATTAAGTGAATGATTGAAAGAAAGAGAAAGTTTTGGTCATTTAAATCATTTAATTGTTGCATAACTCATGACATAAGTATAGCTAGAGTTAGAGTCTGTGTTTTTTTCTGTAAAAAGTTTTAATTACAGAGAATTCAATGTTTAAAGAGAAAAATATTTTGTCACAACATTTTGCAGAAATTCCTTTAGCTCTTCGACTCTCAGCTGAAGGACAACCAGTTTTTCAAATGAGCTTTTAGTGCGCCTTTTTTCGCTCGTTTTGTTGGTTTTGGTGGCGATTTTCGCTTATCTCAGTCTCTATGAGAGTTTATATGCAGTTTTCATATGCAATGGTGTTGTTAGCGATGCCAGTAGTGGTCGGCCTTGTAGTCGATCGTTCACTTTGACATCGAAGCCAAGGACAGACTCTCGCAAAGCACAGCACATAACCAGAGACCAAATGTTTGCCACTGGTATCGCAAAAACAACAAATCATATATAAGTTATACATTATATTCATTATAAACTTTTTGCATACTTTGCTGCACTTCTCTCTCTCTCTCTCTCTCTCTCTCTCTCTCTCTCTCTCCTCTTTGAAAGTCAGAGCTTAGAAACAATGGTTTGAAAGTTTGTAATTCAATGGCAAATATGACATGCAATTCATATGGAGATAACATGAATGCATGCCTTCCCAGGACTACTAATATGATTTGTTGTTTTTGCGATACCAGTGGCAAACATTTGGTCTCTGGTTATGTGCTGTGCTTTGCGAGAGTCTCTCTCTCTCTCCTCTTTGAAAATGCATTGCAACGGATCCCTCACTTTCTTTGTGTCAGGCCTTCAGCCGAAACGATAGCCGCGCTGTCGACCGAAGAGAGCGACACATTGAGAACAGAGCGGAATAAACTCCTCTATCATTGTATTAATAAAAATCATTTAATCGACAAAAATAATTGTCTAGTTTTTGTAACAATTATTCTCGAGTCACTCGTCACTCGCCGACAGAAAAAGCTCATTACATGACAAACACTACACATAAACTTAAATTATGAATAAAATGAAATTATTGTCCAAAACATCATTAAATAGATTAATGAGTTCTCTAATGAATATATGATTTTCTGTCACAAAAAAGCTCAACTCATTGCTAACTGACATTTCGATTAATTCCCTATTAAAATGATATCTCACTTTTTGTGTTCATTTTAGATTCAAAAACATTTGTTTTTTATTTTCACATCAATTGTAAATGAAATGTATTTAAACATCAAAAGCTTGTAATCGTTGCGAAATATTGGGCCTCAATATTTCGGGCGCAAAATCACAGTATTTTTTATGCATTAAGAGTTAGCGATAATTGTTTGGTACTAACGATATAATTACTATAATTGAACACTCGATTCAAAAGGCAGTCAATTAAGAGCTCAATTGCCGTAAAGTCTACATTAATTTTCATATTAATTAATAGTCGTATCGAGAAAACTAAAACTCTGCTTAGATTTTACGCTCATTTTAATAATAATATTTTTTCGGAAAATTTTTCTAATTTTATTAATTAAACTGTTTTGGAAATGAACGGAATTTTTAAATTAAAACTCTGTTTATTATTTTTGTAACATATAAATTAAATTTTAATTAAACATGATTTTTATATCGTATAATTTTTTTGTTCATTACTTATAGTAATTAATTAGTTGTCGGTTTTGCTGATAAAAGACCCCAATTCTCCGATTTATAGATGTGTTCACAAGAAATATTTGATTCATAGAGAAGATACCAAACGTTTGAATACAGTGTTTGACAAAAAATATGGTTTAATAATTTAGTTGATAATGAAATTACCAGTAGATCTCTAATGGGAACCACTTCTTAGGGCTTATTTACGTCCAAATTATATAATATACTATTAATTCACATAAAGTGATGTGTTTTTAGAGTGAGAACAGACAAGACATCCCATTATAAGATGATGTGATTTATGAGATTATAAATTGTTATTTCATATTTCTCTTAGCGATTAGATTTGTGTCTCTCGTAAACGTAACTCTCGTTTTGGTTCTCATGTGTTAATTGTGTTTAATCTGTAAATTCTAGTCCAAAATCAAGATCAATGATCTCGAAAACTCTTAAGTGATTTCGAGTGAGACCTTCACTCAAAAGCCTAATACAAACACATCATGTAATATGTTATAAGTAGTAGTCCTGGGAAGGCATGCATTCATGTTATCTCCATATGAATTGCATGTCATATTTGCCATTGAATTACAAACTTTCAAACCATTGTTTCTAAGCTCTGACTTTCAAAGCCATAAACTCACTGAAAAACTATTTGGTTTTTGTAAATATTGTCAATTGAAAAAAGTAAAACTTTAAAAACGCTCGAAACACATAATTAATATTTATTTGATTCAATTTTCTCATGTAATTTAGAGATGATTTTTATTTTATAAAAAAATATTTTTCTCAATCATTGCCTTAATTAGCATTCTATGAGAAAGTATTAGATTTTTGTTATAATCATCGCTCAGATGCTTATCAAAGGAGAGTCTCTTTCGGTGTTCACTTAAAAAAAAGAGACAAATAAAAAGTTTGAGAGAAAAAAGCAAATAAAATAAAATGATTCCCAATTTAGGGACTCATATAAGTGGCAAAAAACTCAATCAAATGCAATGTGTTTTTGTTCGCCAACTCATGAATTGGCCATTTATGGCGTTTATGGCATACATTAACTGATCGTATAATAAGTGTTTAAAAAAGAAAAATGATTTTTCATTAGTTTTAGTCAAGAATCAAAAGAAGTCAATCTTTTCTCATATGATAAATGGGAGAAATGTGTAAATTTCAGAACTAATAGACTTTATGTCAAATTAAATCAAGAGATGAGTTTCCCTTTTGCAACAACTTATGAGATGAACACAAAAACATATTCTTAGCTTCACTTCTAATGCTTATCTATAATCCAATAAAAATCTCTGCGAAAACTTTGAACAAATTAAAAATGTCTAATAAATTATACGAAAAAATACTGTGTATTCAGATTTGGCCCAAAAATCAGTAAAAATCTGAAATTACTTTTAAAATATTAAATCGATAAATAAGTGTTATTAATATTGAAAGTATTACTTCAAATACAGTAGAAAATGTCAAAACATTTCTTTTTAATATCAATATAAATACCTGTACCGTATTACCCCGCTTATAGGTGCATGCACTTATATGTGAGTTTTCACACAAGGGGTGCACCTATATCCGGATATAGGTGCGGTAGTTTTTGGCACAATTTTGACTTTCAATAAAAATATTTTAAAACATTTTAAATTAAAAATTTAGATTAAAATTTTTTAATACAAATATAATTGCATTATTACAAAATCAATTAAATGTGATAATTTAAAAATTTTAATATTTGCAAATTAGTGGAAAATACCAACCGTGGCACTTTGCCACGATCGTGGCACATCGTGGCAGATTAGTGATTCTCCTTTAAATGTTAAAAATCTATATGTATTTTCTTATCTACTAGACCATAGCCCAATTTCCGCTTCCGTTTACCCGTTTAACGCTTCTCTCTAACCAAAACAAAAACTTAAACAAAAAAAGTTATATTGATATTTCCGAACCGAGTCACAACCTATTTAGGTCACAGGCAAGCACGATAACCATCTAACCATCACTCTACTATTTACAAAGCAAGTGCTTTATTTCAATAACATTGAAATTTCCAAATTGCTCACAAACTCTGTTACAACTCCCTCTCCTATTATTGTTTTCTATCCCCTCCATAGCTTTCACTATAGTTTCCCCTCACACTCTTTCCTATTATATGTTACGTCTGTCAGGGTTGTCCCTTGCATGACATTGGCTTATATTACTTGATTTATGAGCTTGATGAATAATGAGTACATTAGTGTAAAATATTTCATATAATGAACATGTCTTTAAGTGATGATTCATCACTAATGAATCAATTCAAATAATCAGTGAATAAATGGATATAAATGAAAAAATCAGTGATAAAAGTGTGACAAAACAAAGAAAGAAATTAAAATGAAGATTTACTTTAAATT